CACTAGGACAGAAATGTTGATAAGAGCAGAGACCAGGTCCATCTCATTCTCTACAGTATCCCCGGCTCCTAGCGCAGAGCCTGGCATAAAGTAGATGCCCCCCAAAATATTTGTTGAATGAAGGAAGGAAGGAATGAGTACAGATGCATGAATGGGTAAAGGCGTCTTCGGGCAGTAGAGGGTCATGGCACTGTTCACCACCGGGTCTGACCTCTGCCACCCTCTCCTGCTGCCCCCAAGGCAGGCGCTGGAACCACCAGAAGCCCAGATGCTGTTTCAGCTCCTTGTTCCTTGTAGGGAATGTTTCTGAGTCTTCTCCAGTTGGGACTTTCTGACGCCAGTCTGCAGGTGCCCACAGGACCTCTCACACCACTGCAGTCCTTCTGATGCCAGTCCACACACACCCGTGGGGCTGCTCCCTTCAGATGACCCTAGGCCCACCATGTTGGTCCTCAGATTTGGGTCCAGTTGAGGTGAGGTTACTGTGTGGTAGGGGATGCCCAAGAAAGGGTTAAGTTGCCAGGAGCAGAGTCCTGCCCTTGGGTTTGCTCAGCCAATCAGAGTCTGTCCTGATGAGGTAAAGCTTCTATCCTGGGCAGCATTGGTAGCGTTGGCCAGCCCCATCTCCTGCTGGAGAGGGCCGTAAGGGTGGAGTTTCTGTGGAACCAGACAGAACTGGAATTAGCTTGCTGCCCGCTCAGGCCTGGGCTGCCTGGCTCCAGGACCTGCCCCTGTGCCTTTCTAAGGTGCTCAGACAGACCCTGGCACCTCCATCTCCGGGGTCCTGTCTAGCTGCCCAGGAGAGATGACAAGGTGGTACATGCCTCAGCATCACATCTGGGAGAAGTCTTACAGCCAGAGTGGACCCAGGAGTCCTCAGTTTCCCTGCCTGGGCCCCGGGATACAGCAGTTGGCACAGGAAGTGACACGGAGCAGTTGTCACATGGGCTCAGAGCAGATGCATTCAGCTTCAATAAACAAGGCCACTAGATGATTCTTCCTATACAGACTCAACTTTAGTAATAATAATTCACAGAGTTCTTCTTGTGCGCCGCTTTGCTAAGCGCATGACAGGAGTCTACACGAGAACCCTATTCATCCGTGTACTTTGCTGATGAGAAAACCGAGTCTCAGAGTGGCTCGGTGCCTCGCCTGAGGCCACGGAGTGGTAAAGCTTATATCTCCCGTATCGTTTGCTATGCTATTTTTGAATGATCTGTTGGCATATCTGTCTCCACCGCTGGACTGTGTCTCCCAAGGAGAGAGTATGACAGATTCATCCGGGGATTGCCACCATCAGGCCCAGGGCGTGCCCTGAGATCAGGGCAGTACATGCTGTCCTGTGCCCCCTTCTCATCCATGGTGGCTCAGTCAAAAGCCTACTCTCCTCAGATGCTTCCCGGTGCCCTATCCAACTCTGCATGTGGTGGGCTCAGTGGAGGGTCAATGAGTGGACGACAAATGTGCAGCCAAGCCCCCACTGGACTGCTCTTAGGATCCATCAGGCATGGCCTTTAATGATCAGATTGGCACTTCACATCTGTCTAGTTAGAGAATTCCAGAAGGACATGAATCAGGTCTCATTCATCTCTGTGGCCCCAAAGGACCTAAACTAGCATCCGGCACAGAGCAGGCATTTATTATGTATATTTTATTAAACAACCAAAGTAATATGTAGCTGTCTGTCCCTACTAGCTTAGAAGCTCAATGGCCACAGGTAGGACCACCCGTGAGTTATTCTAGATGAGACTCAGGGTAACATGTTCCATGCAGAGAGTTTAGTAAAAGCTACTGCGGGAGGAAGAAGGAAAGTAGGGTCCCTCCAGGGTTAAATAATGACGAGAGGGGCAGACAAGGAGGGAGAGGGAGCGGTGAGCACAAGACAGAGGCCAGGGCGCAAAGGGGGTAGCCATTGACTTCTGCAGAAAGACGGAGAGCAAGCAGGCCAGTCCCAAGCAGCCTCCCACCTGCCATGGCCAGCTAAGAGTGGGCAAGGAGAAGCAATGGATTCCCCAGAGAAGAAACGCAGCCCCCCTGCTGCCTGCCTCACTGTGTCCACCCTGCCACAACCGGGCCCCCCACCCTGCAACCCACAGGCCAAAGGCACCTCAAAGACAGCACAGAAAGCCTGAGCCTGCCCCTCTCCACCCCCAAGAGAAAAACAGGCCTGGCCCCTAAGATAGCAGGTTTCACAGGCAACTTCAGGGTATATAGCTCCCTAATGGGGCCGGATGACCCCAGGTCCTCAGCTTTCGTGATAATTGCAAAGCTTGAAGAGCTGGAAAGAGCCACAAGACCAGTGCGCGGGTGGAATCACTGTGGTCACAGAGGGAAGCGGTGGCCAAAGGTCACACAGCAAGTAGTGGCACACCTGCCTCTATCCTTTCAGTCCGTCTTGCCCTAATTCCCTCTGTCCTTCTCAACAAGCATTTCATGTTCAGGGTACATCACATTTGTTGTTTTGCAAATTTGGGGAAAACTTTGTATTCCATGAAATGTTTGAAGAATCCCCATTCAAAGGTGTCAGCAAACACTGCTGAAAGGAACAGGGTGGAAAAGGGGCAGCATAGGAGTTTGGGGAGGTGCCTTGCTAACCCCTCTTTCCCCTGAGAGGCATTTGAGTGGGGGCGGGGGCGGGGAGTGGCTTGGACAGTGGTCTCCATTGTGCAGCAGAAAGAAGAAAAGGCATTAAAAGTCATGCTACTCAGTCAGGACAATTGGTCAAGCAGGGCTCTCTTTACTTAAAGAGCAAGAAGCTCTGCTTGGCCTTCCCTCTTCTGTCCCCTGGAGAACAGCAACCCTAGTGGAGAGGCTGTGGCCCAGCCCTTGGCGAGGAGGTTCCCAGCCACCTCTGTGGCTGCCAGGACCTGATGGAGCTGAACACAGGGGAACACCTGTGGCTGGGTGAACAGCCATCTGGGCTGCGTCATAAAGGTTGCTTGCAACTATATGGGACTGGAGAAAACCCTATTTACCAACCTTTCCTCAGGGGGCATTCTGTGAGTGAGCAGAAGAAATAAGTTGCTAAGACTCTGTAATGTGTATGGTGGGAGTGGGTAGAGTTGGGCAGCAAGACCCCCAAGGGGCCTGCAAACAAAAGACAATTACATAAGTGCCTCCTAAGAAGGGTGGGCCGAGTGGGGTGTGTGAGGCTGAGCCGGGCCCAGGTCTCAGGGGAGGAGGCAACTCTGAAACTATCCCAGCAGTTAGCCTCTCCTTCTTTACCTTTCTCCTACCCAGCAAACAACTACTCCACTAAACACATGCTTAAAGAGTTTTAATTTGCCTGCCCAGGATGCCCATATATGTTAGTGTGGCCCAGAAGCCAGGCCCCAGAGCCTGGGGCCCTTCCAGGGTCAGTCAGCCAAGCCCGCAGCCCCGCAGGGACTAGAGCGTGTCTCAGAAACCCAGGCTGTATTTAGTTGACCGATGGTGGCGAGGTTCCCCAAGGTATTGAAAAGGCTGTTGCCAACACACTCCAAGCCCAAGAACTCTGAAGCTGGGGCAGAAAGAACTCTTTTCCCCAAACCAGAAGGAGCTAAGCCGAAGCCACAAGAAAGCTGGAGGACAAAAGTTCAGCCATGTGACATCCCAGGGGCTGTCCCAGTGAACAGGGAGTAGCCTGGCTTCTGACTGAAACCAGCCTTGGATCAAGAGTGCAAGACAACCTATAGCTTCCACGGGTCTCTGTTCAGTAAAAGAACCTGACCGTGGGAACCAGCCAGCCAGTGTAGCAACAAGCGGCCTTGACGGACAGAGGTCAGGGCAGTGCACTGCCCACAGCTATTAAGTGCCTACTGCATACCAAGCACTGCTATGAACTATATGTGCATCATCTCCTGTAATTCTCACAACAATCCTTTGAGGGGGGAACTATTGTCCCCAGATGAGGACAGCAAAGCTCCAAGTTGGTATAGTGACTTGTCCAAGGTCACACTGCCAGTCAGTAGCAGAGGGATATACAAAAGTCCATGTTTTTCCCACAGTCCTCCCTCATCAGTTATTCTTGCCCCTGGCTAGAGTGAAACAAGATAACAGTCAAGTCTGAGGTTCTATAATTCTCAGAGGCTTACTCCCTTAGGGAGTAGCTGGGAAGCTGCTGTGCACCACTGCCCAGCCACCTCTTCCCGACCTTCTGCCCTCAGCAGACCCCACTGCCCCCGCCGTGTGCCTGCTGCCCTGGCACGACAGGCTTGAACACCAGGAAGAAACAAGGCCAGTGAGCATACAGGCTGCTGCTCTCCATTACCCGCTTCCCTGTCCAGACCAGCCGCCTTGGCTTCTTTCACAGTCGATCAGGCCAAATCCCAAAATGGCCAACACTTTTAGCTAGAGAAGGGACCTGAGCGAATCACAAATGGGGAAATAAAACTGTGCCTTGTAGCCGGCATCTGGGTGACAAAGGTCCAGCTCCCACCCTGTCCCCTCCACAGGCACGGGACCAGCTGAGGGGGCCTGCTCCACAGCAGCCTCAGACGGCGTCTAATCTTCCCTGATACTCCAGTTGGCCGGCCTCTGGTCCCCAGCAAACTCCACTTGGCTCCAGTGCGCTGTGACCTGTATCGAACTAGGACAGCTTCTGCCGCAAACATCCCCTCCCAATTATTTCTGCCTTAGGCCAGCATTATCCACCAGTGTGCTGCCCCTGGCACAACCAGCCCAATGGCAGAGGGGGACCACATGCCCAGCAGCAGCAGGGAGGCAGCCCAAATTAGACCTTGTCATGGGCAAACCAAAGAACACAGCCGAGAACTGATGGGTCATGCTCAATTTGGCTCTGTCGCTCTACCCGAGCAATGTGAAACTCACTCAATACACCCAGCAAAATGCCAAGGGGGAGAGACATTCGAGCACAGTCCACCCTGCCAAGAGCTCGTTGCCCAGATCCGACTCCTGAGCTCAGACTGGTCCCAAGCTCAATTCGGAGGCTCAAGGGTCCAGGCCCCTGAGGGGAAGCCAGGCAGCCGAGGCTGGGCGGCAGCCGCGGGCGAGGCCCTTACCTTGCTCTGTGGGGGCGAGGCCGCCAGCTGTTGCTGCTTCGCAATGTTCTCTGACAGGCACCAGCACACTCTCTTCTTCTGCTCCTGCGAGTGCGCTTCCAAAGTGAATAAGCACTCTGCCTTCTGACGTCAGGGAAAACAGAAAGGGACGGTCAGGGCTGCTCCCTGGTTCTGGGGGCTCCCAGGCCCAAGCCCATCCCTGGGCTCCGGCGGGCGAGGCTGCCGCAGGGAGGGGAGTGCCCACTAAAAGCCACAAATGCACACTAATCCCCGGTGACATCGAGGCAGCCAGAGGAGCAAGGAAGCTGGTTGGGGGGCCAGCTGGCGAGCCTTGTGCCCACAGGTTGGGGGAAGGGAGGGAGGCGGCGGTTCCCAACACAGTGGAGGCCTATGGAGAGCCACAGAATAGAAGTGGCGAGGTCACCCCCGGGCACAGGCAGCACAAAGCAGCAGCTGGGAGAGCACGTGGGGAACCCAGAGGGCCAAGGTCCCCGCTCCTGATGTTCTGTGGAGCCGGGACCCCCTCCCCCACCCAGGGCGCACTCATCTGATCACCAGGCCAAGGCTGGATGGGTGATTGACAGGCATACCAACAGAAGCCTTTGGAAAGTCTTTGGTGGACACAGTCACGTGGCCTCCTACGGCCCCACTGCCGCCTGGCCCATGAGCTGGGTCTGATCCATAACTTTAGCTCCATCGGGTGCAACAACAGTCTCTGGCACTGCTGTCGTTTAAATCTCACTTTGCTATTAAACCTTGTTAAGTGCTGCAGTCTTGTCTCCCCAACTAGACTAGAAACTCCTTCTTGGAAGGCCTTTTTCATCTGAACTTAGCGCAGTGCTTGGCAAGGGATGCCTCAGTAAGCTCTGGCTCCCTAGAGGGACTTCTGGAATAAGGTCAAAGCCAGGGCAGCGAGGCCTGAGGGTCAGGGGGCTGCCAGGACCCAGGCACTGAGCCCGAGGTCCTGAGAGTGTGCTGGGGCGGGGAGGGGCGTTACAGCCGGCCCAGTGCTGTCATCCAGTGCAGCATGCTCCGGTCAGGGGATTAGGAGCTCTTTCTGACTCCGCTGGAATTTGATTACAACCTCACAGGGCTGCGATTAGATGAACTCAGCCAGGGAGCTAAGAGCGTGAGCTGGATGGCTTGAAACAGAGAAGACAGTGTTTGGATGCAGCCCTTCCGCGCCGTGCAGTTGGCAGGGCTGGTTTGAATCCCAGCTTTACCACTTCCTAGCTGACGACCTCGGGAAAGTCTATAAAATGGGAATGATGATGCTGTCACCCCCGTCTCAGCGCTACTGGGAGGCAAGTGACGAGAGCCAACTACTGCTGTCGTTGCTCAGTACTTCATCTGTTTTAATACATATTTATCCAGCACCTGCTCTGTGTCAGGGATTGTACTAGCCCCTGGGGGGAAAGGGGGAAATAAGAGAGTCAGAGCTCTTGCCCTCAGGTTGGGAGCAGACAGTAAACCAATAAACAATTAAACAACATGATTCAAACTGTGAAAAGGCCGCAAAAGAAGAGGTCCCTGTTAGAGCCTGGTGGCCAGAGAAGGCCTCTGAAGGGGCCGCTAGGGTGAGGCTTGAACAACAAGGAGCCAGCAAAGAAAGTGCTGGGAGAAACTGTGCTCAGAAGGAACAGCAAATGCAAAGGCTCCGAGCTGGGTGGCTATTGGTATCATCTAACAGCATTTGGGAGCATTTTCTACCATCCAACACAACCCTCGGGTGGGGGCACCTCCCATGTTAACTGTTCCCTGGATATAGCCATTCCTCTCCTGCCCAAAAGTGCTCAGAAGCGGATCTTCCAAAAAGCATCAAAAGAGATAGGGAAGAAAGGCCTGCCCCCAGGCTTCTGGGAACTGGGTGGATGGGTGAGGCAATCCTATCACTTAACAACAGGTCCCCTCCACATCCCAGAACCCCCAGCCCACTACAGAATAGGATACACCCAGCAAAAGACCCCAAGATTCCCCAGGGAGAAGTCAGGTGGGGCAGAAGACAACCAGCAGGCCCTCTGCTCCCAGTCTCACTGTGTTCCCCATGTAAGGGGAGGGGTGAGGCAGGGACTATGGCCCCTTCCAGCTTGGAAAAGGCCATCACTCCACAAAGCTGGCCCTGGCTGGAGCCTTCTAGATTCTGCCTCTACCTTGCTGTTTGGATTTCAGCAAATCCTTTAAACTCCCTGAGCCCCAAATTCTCCCCTTTCAGTTCTGAAGCAGGAATTCTGCCATCATAATTCCTTTTATCTAATTAACAATTTTAAAAAGCACTTTCCCATCTGTGATCTCAAGAAAGGCTTCTAATCTTAAGGACCTACCCCAGGCCTGGCCCGGTGGCTAACTGTCTTGGATGGGTACACATTATCAGGAAGCCCTTGCTCCCAAGGCTCCTCTTGAGCTGCTGTCTACAGCTTTGAGGCTGACCTGGCCAAGAGAGACAGCATGAAGCCAGTTCCCTCCAGGGAGGCTGAATTCCCATCCACCTAAATCTGTCTAAATCAGGGCCGTAGTGCAGTCCTGGCTGCCCCTGCACGTGAACCATGGCTCTTAATTCACTGTGTGATCCAACCCATCAGTTGCAAGCTGATGCATACCCTGCCCTCAGTAGCAGGCTCCAGGGTCAAGGGTGTAAGCTACCCCGAAGGCATTCTTACACATCTCATTCAGAGGCAGGGCCTCTTGATTGCAGTGTGGCCAAGCACAGACCTCTCCAGGCACAGCAGCACCTGGCCCAGACCTCTCCATTCCAACATGAGCATCCCCAAGTCCAACCGGGGACCCAGCTCCTCTTGGCCTCTTTAAAACTCCAATCCTGCCTCACCTCCTTGTTCCTAAATTAATATTATCTTTGTAAAAACTAAAACCTCTTCTTCTACGATTTATATTTGTTCACTTGCTTTGACAAACATCCCCTCCTTTAATTCAGTTCTCCCAATGGCCCTGTGACACTGGGAGGAAGAAAGGCACAGCTGCTACCATTTTTCAGATGAGAAACCAGGGGCTCAGAGAGGTCAAGTTGGCGGCTCCAGGAGGTCCTCAGGAGAGGAGACGTTCAAAGTCTGTCTTTGTCTCCTCCAGAGCCTGTGATCTTGCCACATTTGTATAACTGCATATGTACATTACAAAGAATGTGAGATATTCCTCTTAGCTTTCTTTTTAAAAGATCAATAACTCTAATGGGGAGGAAATGAATATGGAAAGCTCTCCCCCTGTTATGAAGCTGACAAAACAACAGCTCCCATTTATTGAGCACTCACTGTGTGCCAGGGTCTGAGCTAAGTGCCTCGGACACAGCATCTTATTGAATCTCATTTAATCATTACAACAACCTTGCAAAGTAGGCTCATTGGCCTGGTTTCAGAGAGGAGTATGTGACTTGCCCAGATCACTCAGGTAGGAAATGTCAGAGTTAGGATTCAAATCTAGGTCTTAACCCCAAAGTGCAGACTGAAATTAATGGAGCTGGAATCAGATTCTACGTTAGAGAATGGCCCCTGGCTAACGTGCACTTTGACCCAATGCCCCTAGTACTCTGAAGCCAGTAGTGGGCTGCATCTGTCCCATGGATTTGCGGGTGCTGAGGGACACCTATCCAGGGGAACAGAGACCTCAGGGCCAAGGACTGCTTATGGGAGCCCCACCCAGGACGTGCTTCTGGGGCACAATCAGAGCAACTGCCACCCAAGCAATTGGGGCTTTCTTAGTGCAGTGGAAAACCCTCTCCAAATCCTGACTCTCTTGCCCTGGCTTCTCTGGGTGCCACCTGCCTGTTAGGCGATGAAGGGAAACCACCTGTCGGAAGGTCCAACTAAGATGCGAGTTCGGGGTTCTCCGTGGGATCCCGAACCATGTGTCAAGCCTGTCCCAGGCAACAGGGCAAACAGTTTCCTCTTGTCTCCATTACAGACAGACATGCCCCTCATAAACAGCAGCCCATTAAGAGAAAAGAGAGGCTTCTGGCTGCCTGTGAGCTTCAATCCCCCAGCCCCTTGGAGTCAGATCACCTGGCACTTTACTGAAATAAAAGGCCCCAGATCAATATCCCTTCATCAGTCTTTGGAAGGCTAGGAGGTCACAGCCCCCAGGAAACAAATGAGCAGAAGTGCTTTTCTCTTGGAAAAACAAGCCCAGCTTGGCAAGAAGCTCTGTTGGCATTAAAGAACCTGGAGCTTCATTTCAGGCCCTGCCACAGAGAATCGGAATCCAGAGGGGTGATGATGGAGGGGCCAATGCGCCGGCTCCTCCCAGCCTGGCTCACAGCTTCTAAGCTGCATATTGGGCTCTGCAGAACTGAACGCCCGCTAGCCCTGAAGTGCCTACACCAGCTACTCCCAGTGCCTGGTGGATGTGCTGGCACAGGGGAGGCAATCCTATGCCCTCGGGTTGCCATTCTAGGCAGCCAGGGTCCCCAGCTCAGCTCTGACAATGGGCACTGCCCTTTGCAACTCTCTGCTCTCCCCTGTAACCAACTTATCAAATCGTCTTGTTCCCAGAGATCTGTTCACCCGAGGGGATTCTCTCAAAGGCCTGCACCTCTTATCTTAGCCAGGAATTGAAGGAATGACTTTCAATCACAAATGACATACACTCCTTCTTCCTCTTGGCCAGCCAGTGTAGACTATGCTCCACCCACAGGGTGTGGCCAATGTAGACTTTCCCACAGTCAGGCAGGTTCCCAGGACTGTTGAGTGAGACAGAGGCTAGCAGAAGCAGAGGACACGAGTGGGTCTAATGAATGAATCCTTGCTTGGGACAGAGAGCTCCCCTGTTCATATTAGCAGAGACACAGGTTGGGAATAGAAAATTCACTGAAAGTCTAAAAGAATTTCATGGCTCAGTAGCTCTCAGTTTTTTCATTACCAAGAGCCTCCGATTAAACCTCTGGTTTAATGATATTTTATCTCCCAAACCATATCAAGCAATAAGCTGTTTGCCCAATTTTGCTCAGCAAAGGCATAACACTGCCCATCCGAGATTCTGATCAGACTGAGATAACCAAGAACAGCAATCACACTGAGGGGGGCCTTCAGCCCCAAAAAGACACCTGATGTGTTATTTAGCCTGTATTATCTGGCTCAGTTAAAGGTACAATTACCTTTAGGCCATTTTAAACACTGACAAGACCCCTAGGACGGGTCTCAGGTGGTACTTTCTGGAAAAAGAAGAAGAAAGAGGCAGACACTGGAATCAGGGTAACCTCCAGAGGACCGGCTCCCACCCTTACTATGTATGACCCCTGCAGGGGTGGAGCCCAGGAGGTCCTGAGCAGGAGGCCATAGTGTCCTCCGCTCTTCTACATGAAGGTAAGAGACACAGGGGCAGGGATGGCTGGTTCCTATTCTATAGGGCAGGAAACCACCATGCCAGACCTGCCAGGACCCCTGCAGGAGTTGGGATGGAGGGGGCATCAGAACCCTGGACTAGGACCCATCCCAAAATCTCCCCTCAAGCTCCAGGTCACATATGTTTCCTCAAAGTCAGAGAGAAGGACTCACCTCTGCTAGATACAGCACACAGAATTTCAGGTCTTCCGAAGAACCTTTGGGAGCAAAAAGTGAGACTTGCATTAGAATTGGCTACTGTCTGAGCAGTTTGCTCAAGCGCAGCCAGCTGTCTCACCCAGAGGGCTGTATGTGTACTTCCTGGGAAAAGAGAAAGAAGCAGGCACAGGAGACAGGGAAATCTCTGGAGCAAATGCCATTTAGCAACTAACCAGGTTGTGGCCCAGCTGTAAGGCCTGTGCCTGTGGGTCAGTGCGACTCAAGGAATGCTGAGATAGCACCCCTAGGAGAGGCGGCCAGAAGCCCGCTCTGCGCATCAAACAGCCAGCCGATGGGAGCTACCATCCACCCCAGAGGTCTCTTCCTTTCTGTGCTGTGACACCCACCACCGCCCTCCTGCATTACCCAACCCTTCACTGAAGTTTACTCCACCTCTTGGTCTGCGCTGGCAGCACTGAAGGGAAGGACAGAACGGGGGCAGAGCTCAGCATGGCTCAGAGCCTCGTAAAAGGCTGACGAGCCTCCGGAACCCAGGGTGCCAGGAAGGAGCCGCAGCTGTGGGAAAGCAGGCAGCAAGGTTGCTGACCGGGAGAGACCTCAGTCCCATCAGAAACCCTTCTGAACATGAGGCTCAGCTCTGACTCTCCAGAGTGTGGAAGTGGGGCAAGTGTAAAGGAAATGGGACGGGGCCATTTGGGTTTCTATCTAACACTCCAAATGCTTTTGCCATTTTGAAATGTAACAAGGAGCCATCTGGTTCCTGGGTTGGCCTTCCCACTAACAAATACTTGGATTAGTTTAGGAGGGATCCCCAGTCATGGGCTGTGTAGGGCCCAGAGGGGCTTCCCCACCCAGGTCTGACCTTGCTGTCATTTTTGAAAAGTCCTCTTAAGCCTGGACTGAGATCCCAAACTGAGCCATTCACCAAGGCCTCTCTACCCTGCGAGACAAGCCAAGAGGATTAGTCTCCATTTTCCAGATGCAGACACTGAGGCCCAGGAGGGAAAACAACTCATACAAGCCATAGAGTAAGAAAGTGAGAGCTGAGATTTGAACCCAGCCTGCCTCCACAGCCTGCGCTCTGACCACCATGTGACACTTCTGCCCCCAAACCAATTTACTTCTCTGTCATTCCACCAGGCCATGTGCCCTGAGGTAGAAATGTCTCCCTCTGCTCACCCTGGCAGTAGCACTGAGGTGGACTCTGAGGATGTGTCCAGAAAATGTCACCTACTAAACTTAACTCCAAGCATCCAGTGGCTGGAACCTCAGCGGCTGAGTTTTCAAGACTGGGCACCTGGCTCCCCAGGGTGGACGGAGAGCCCAGGAATCAGCTAGACATTTCCAGGCCATCCTGAGAGAACAGAGCAGGCCAGGAAGACACACTGTGGGCGGGATGCTGGCTGCTTGGGAGGCAGAAACACAAAGAGCAGCAAAGTCAGTGGGCGGCAGAGGCAGGAAGAGGCCACAATGGGCCCTGGCTGACCGGAGATGTCCCAATTGTTAGCGACAGCTCTCCGCCTGTTCCCATTACACTGCGATGCAGCCCCAGTGAAGCTTGGGGAGAGCTGGGCAGGAGGGCAAGACAGATTTAAGCAGCCACCAGCTTGGAGCCCTGGGGGAGGAGGGCACTCCCAGCCCCTAAGCTGAGGCAGTGCCTCTGGTCTCTTTCAGTCACTCATTTGTCCACCCAACACACATTCCTTGAGCACCCATGATGTTCTGGGCCCCATGCTAGACCCTGGGAGTATGCTTTTCCAGCGGAGATAAGCACCCTTCACACACGTCACTCAAGGGAGTCCTTGGTCCCTGGGTGGGGCTGATTCTCCCTGGCCAGGGAGCAACCCTCACCAGCACCAGCCTGCAGGAAAGGCTGTGTGTGTTCCTTGTTTACCATCTTCTTTGCCCCAAATTGAACTCTTCACACATGTTGATTTGAAAGAAACAAGAAACCTAGGAGTGTGAGTGATGTTAATCATTCGGCCAACAGAAGCTGCAGCTGAGCCCCAAATGCATCTTAAAAGCCTCTCAGGTTCTTGCTGCTGCAGCGGGTCTCTGGGGGCACAAGGGAGGCAAGCAGGAAATCGAGCACCAGGGCTGGGACATTGGGTCCTGCAGCTCCAACTCCGACTGCAGGAGAAGGGGTCACTGGACTTCTGAGAACCCCAGGACCCACGGGGCTGTCTCAGGGGACAGGGTTCAGGGGAGGAGACAAGGGCTCCACCAATGCCTGGAAAGAAATCTAAGCAACGGAATGTGCACCCTGAGTGCTCAGTGTCACTGAACCATTTCCTTTGCTCTCAGCAGCTCATGGGCTCCCTGGAGACCCATGTTCATTGTTTGCTCACAGACACTGCTGGAGAAGGGCAAGGCAATTGGTCTGCACCAAACCAGCTGCCCAGAAGACCCAGGGCAGGCATGTGCACATGTGTTGTGCACACGCACCACCACCCCCATGCCAACCCAAAGGGCTCTAATAGCATGGTCATCTCTCCTAAGGAGTGCTGGCCTGGGCCACCCTCAGCTTGCCATCTGCGGGGAGAGGATGTGGTCTCCAGCCCCAGGAAGCCATGCCTGCACAAGGCTGTTGCTCACAGGAGCTCAGCATCTGAAAAGTATCTTGGCAACACCTCAAGGCCCTGCACCACCCACCTACCATGACCATTCACCACCCAGTGAGGACGGAACTCACCCTGCCTCTAACTTCAAACCTTGGGTCTGGGGACCCAGGAGGGGAAGGTCCAACCAATTACCAGTCAAGGCCCCCTAAGGGGTAAGGGCTGGACCTATGGGCACTGTTCAGCTTCCCACAGCCACCTCTGGATCTGTCTGGGAACATCAGGGCTGGGAGGGAACACGAAGGACTGGCCCAAGAAGCACAGAAAAGGGAAAAAGTCAGCTGAAGTTACATAGCACATCAGCAGCAGAGCTGAGCCCAGACCCCAAACTCTCAGCGGCTACCCTTGGCTCTTCCATGCCCTTGCCACTCCTCCCATCCCAAACCCTACCCAAGGGACAGGCAGTCTGAGTCCCACTTCTTTTCCCTCTGTCCTTTTAACAGGAGGATGGGCGCTGTCCCTCAATAAGAGTTGGGCTCTATAATCAATCAGCCCATGTTACCAAGCACTGCCCCCCAGTGCTCCTCACAGCTAAATGGGTCCCCGATTGTCTGAGCTGGGGATGGGCAGATGCACAGAGGAAGAGGCTGTATAGCATGTGTGTGTGTGCGTGCGTGCAGGGGGCTGGGAGGGACTCCACAATGGGCATGTAGGGGAAGCTGGTTAGAGGGAGGGAGGAAAGGGCAGAGCAGCAGGAAGCCAAGGACAGTAGCTCTCACCTGACCCCCTCCCATGGGAGCTCCCTGAACCGCCAGGGTCTGAGCTGAACTTGCTCAGAGGGCTGCTCCTCACCACCGGCCTTGGTCAGGGGGAGCCTGGCCTCTGAGCGAGGTGACTTGCTTTTTCCCCTCAGTGGCTGCCCTGGTCAGTGGGCAGGAGGAAGGCAGAGGCAGAGAAGAAGTTGTAAGTGACTTCCTGTGGGGTGGCGAGATGGAGGTTCTCACACTGCCTGGTGTCTAAGGAGGAAGGCCAGCAGGAGCTGAGCACATAGGTCAGGTTTGCAAATAGGCAGGAAGTTTTCCTGGAGCAAAACCCGTCAAAACAGAATTCTTTCACTGGGTAATATTTTCCTCCCTGCCCGTCAGCCATGCTCAAACAGGTCTGTTGTTGTTTTCATAATCTGGGAGAGGAAATCAAGCCCCTTTCAGCGGAGACCTCAGGCGCCAAACCAAACCGCTCAGCAGATACTCCCAGCTGGCTTCCCGTCCCAGAGCGGAGGAGGGCACGGTGGAAACTTTGGGGTAGAGGTTCACTCCACGCTTCCACGTGCTCCTGCCTGCCAGCCCCCAGCCGCATGTTCCTGGGGCTCCGCATGTTCCAGGTTCCTGGGGCTCCGGCCAAAGCAATAAAGCTGAGTGGGGAAGGAGCAGTAGTCTCTTGTTCTGAATATGTGTGGTGAGTGCAGTGACAACTAGCATTTACTGGGCAGCTGGTGTGGATGAGGCACTTTGCATATATGACCTAATTTAATCTCCACAACAACCTTCTGAGATACTATTGGTATCCCGCATTCACACATGAGGAAACAGGCTCAGAGAGGTTGTGTAACTTGCCCAAGGTCGCACAGGTAGTGAGGGGCAGGGCTGAGATCTGAGCACAGGTCCAAGTCCAAAGCTCTTCCCACTTCACTCCCTAGCCTCTCTAAACACCTGTGGAACAGAACCTCCCAGCAAAGGTCGGGGTGTACAGGCAGGCTTGCCAGCCTAGAATGAAATACCAGTGCCTGGGAGCCCACCAGCCCAGGGGCAGGACCTGACCACGCATGCTTAAAAGCTCCACTGGCAGCTGGCTGCTCAGCACCAGAAGGGCTGGACCCAACCTGAGCATCCAGGCTGCTCAGAGCAGTGGACTCAGGACAAGTGGGGAGGGCCCAGGGCAACTTGGGCACAAACTTACCTTCCTGAAGCTTCACACTCTGGAGGTAGAGGGGGTTCCTCAAGACGTTGCAGCGGCCCGGCTCGTCCTCCTTGGTGAAGAGCAGCAGATCCGAATAGGCAAAGAGTGTCACCTGTGTCAGGTGACAGCAAACAGAACAGCTCTTCAGCTGTCCCGAGACCAGGAGCCACAACCGCCCCAAAGGTCCAGGGAAGGAGTCCTCGTTGTCTTAGGCAGAACCAGGAGCAGACTAAGTGTGGCCTCCACCAAGAGCAGAGACCTCACCTGGAGTCAAGACCGCCCCTTTGCCCTACAGTTTTCTATAGCTCCACTCCTCACAAACAAAACAGAACAAAAACATAAACAGAACAAAAAACACTGAGCCTCACCTTCCGTGGCAGATGGCCCCTGCAAGCCTCTCCAGACTGACACCCCCAAGGCCCACATCTCTGTCTGAAAGCCCCTGGAATCTCCAGCCCAGCACCCTTGGCTTAGCGCCTCCCTGGAGCTGCAGGATGTCCTGCATCTGCTTGTACTGGCCTCTACACATCTGGCTGAAAGAGCACTGGACCTGGACTCAGAAGTGACAAGGCTCTATCCCCCTAAGGAGCCATGAAAACTTGGTTAAGTCTCCTGAGTTTTCGCATCTGCACAAACGTGGGAGTCCCTGCCCGGCTCCCTCACCGGCTCCTTCACAATCTCTGAGCTGACAGTGAACTGAAGCATAGTGCAACGCGAGGTGCTATTACCAAGTTCCTTGCGGTAATTTTAACTGCAGGAACCCGCAATCAGCTTAAGAAGCAGCCAGTTACTCACGCTCCAATGCAGACATAACTTTTATCTCTTTTATGCACTAGCTGCTCCAAAAATAAAGGAGAACGCTATTTTTAGACATTATAGGTAAACCAACAGGCATGTTCAGCATATTTTTGTGCCATGAAAAATCCACTTGATTCTCTAATGCCACTAAAGATTACGCTGTTCTTTGTTGTGTAAATCCTGCAGTGGCCTTTAGTCAAGAGCAATGAAATCCAATTTTAGATTCTTCGAAGAAAACAAAATATAATTATGTGAACTTCCCTTGGAGGTGTCAAAATCTGATGCTTCACCTCTTCTGAAGGAAGCAGAGTCAGCCAGCAGAGCTTGGCATTCGCTACTAAGGGCCACAGGGCACACGTGTTGGATTGTCACTGAGGTTTAAGAAGCCAGCATGTAGACGTTTAGCTATCAGACTGTTAAAGATGACCCAACTCGACCTCTGACTACCCCACAGGAACCCTGACAAGGCTATACAAATATGGACCTATAAGGATGTTCTCAGCAATATTTTCATAATAAAAAAAGTACATAAACTGAGGTTGAAGAGGGGAAAGGGAGTCAACTATACACACAGAAGGAGACTAGACTTTGAGTGGTGAGCACACAATGCAATGTACAGACGACGGATTATAGAATTGGACACTTGAAACTTACATAACTTGATAACCAATGTCACCCCAATAATTTTTTTTTTTTTAATAAAAGTACATAAACTAATGGGAGCAGAGAGTGGCAATGATGTAAAAATAAAGAATAAAATAAAATAAACAATAGAAGAGTTAAAAAAAAGGGTATAAACACCCATCAAGAGAAGATGGGTAAAATAAATTACGCTACTTTCACATGGTAGAATGTTATGCAACTACTAAAAGAATAAAGTAGAGCTATGTGGACAGAAGCTGAAATCTGTCAAAACAGTGCCATGTGCAAAAATACCAAGAGTATAATCCAATTTTGTGGGGGGAAAACCTATAAATCTGTCTATATTTAACATTTTTTAAATGTCTATGATACCACACTCTTCACTCTGGGGAGTGGATTTTACTTCATACATTTCTGCTTAATTTGCATTATTTTGCAAGGAAAATCTTTTACTTTTGTAATTTAAAAATATGTAAATATTTTCCAAAGGACCACTTGACTTCTTGAGCATAGCAGAAACACAGAGGTCTGAGGGAATCTGGGCCACAGAGTCAATAGGAGGCGTTCTTGGGCAAGAACTCTCACAGGCTCTGGCTCCTCTAATGGAACCAAACAGGAGGGTTCTGGAACCCTGGGCTGGAGGGGATCCTATTGGGGATGCTATCCAACCCCCTTCCCAACACAGCCCTGTCCCAACACAGCCTATCAAAAGTCGCCATTTGTTGAGCACTTACTTTCTGCTCAGTGGATCCTTGCTTGTATATAACATCATCGCCCTCAATTACAGGTGAGGAACCTAGAGCTCTGAGAGGTTAAGTGACCTGCCCAAGGCCACACAGCCAAGGACCAGGTCAGGTCTGGCTGACCCTTAAGTGCTCACTATACAGAGAGGTAGCAAAATGCCTCCAATTGTCCTGTTCCTGAATGGGAAAGAATCCAAGCAGGGCCAAAAAAGAGGAGCGAAGGAGACCAAAAAATAAATGAAGTTAAGGGAGGGGAAGAAAATGATCTGAGAGCTCAGAAGGATTTGAGGGGTCAGCTGCCTGAGGAGAAGTCTTCAAAGTCCAAAGAGTGAAAAGGGGAAGGCTCTAAGCTCACCCAATACAAGACACCCTCAGGCTGCCCAACCCACGGAGGGAAAGCTGGCAGTCACCTGTGGACCCCTGAAAAGCTGGCAGGGGAAGGGTTAGAGAAGACAGTCTGTTAGGAGCCTATAAAGTCAAAAAATGGCCCAGGCCAGAAAGGACTGGATAGAGGGTAACTGCCCACACGCAAGGTGCAAAAAGCCCCAGGCTGCTGCTCTGCCCCTATTCCCAGAGCTGGAAATGTGGTCTAGACAGGAAGTGATTAAAGCATGAACGAAGAATTTCCCCAAAGGTCGGGTCAGGGAAAGGACAGAGCTGGCACACGGCTGAAGGCAGGGCAGAGGGGCAAGCATGCCAGGGGAGGCAGGTGGGCCCCTCTCCCATCTCACCGGCATCCTGCGGACTTTGCTTCAGCAGGAGCCACAGCAGCCCACAGTGGAGTGATGCCCATCTCCATGGTCCTATTACCTGCTATTACACTTGCTCCAAAGACACATCTGTTTGCCCAAAGAGTCATGGGTTGAGGGATTGCTTGGTTAGAGAATCATTGAAACTCGGAGGGTCACTTCTCCCAAGTAACCCTAACCAAGCCTCCTCCAGGAATCTGGCCTAAGGGCAGGGTTTGCAGAAAAGACCTTAGTGCCTTGGTTAATGGTAAACTCAGTGAGTCAGTGAGGGTGTGTCTGTCTTGGGTCCCTTAGTTTTCTTGGAAGCTCTAGCACAGGGCCTGGCTACACTGTAAACACTCAGTGCCTGTTGTTTGAATGTATAAATCAGGTTACTCCATTATGCTGATTTGGCACATTAATGAAGTCTGTGACTTCCCAGAGGGGGTGTGATGAGGGCAGTTTATGGTGTGGGTCTGGACCAGCTCACAGACGTTAGCAAACTGGAGCATGCTCAGAGCAAAGACAGGAGCAAGAACCAAGGGGGAATATTCCAGAATAAAGATTCCTGCCGAGTGTAAGGGGGAACTTTCTACAGTTTAGCACTCTCTGTTAACAAAACCAATGTTTGGAAGGACGGCCTCTGCAGACTCAACAACTGGCTGCAAACCCAGCTGGAAGTTGCAGGGAAGCAATGAGAAAATGACGGCTCCTGAGGACTAACCAACACCGAGATTCTATGAACTTATTCAAGCTCCTCTTGGGCTGCTTTATATTTTTGGCCTGAATAACATGACAGGTTACCAAGACGCACATATGTGCTTCCTTATTTATTTTACTTGTCTTCAAATCGCTTCTTTCAATCTTCAAAATCTTCTTGGCTCTAAGGCTCCAAAGACCCACTAGCAAAGAGCTTTGGGGCAGACTGTGATCAGGTTATGGCTTCAGCTTGTTTGCTGGTTTGTGTTTAAACAAACAAGCCAGAGGCAGCATGGGATCATGGAAAGCACTGCTGAGCCAGAGATCAGCGTGCTAATCATGACTCCATCCCTTATGAGCTTTGAGACCCTCAGGTCCCAGTTAATCTCACTAAAGCCTCAGTTTCCTCATTTACAGAGTAGGGACAACTGTGCCTCTCCTGGGGGTGCTGAAGAGCTCACTGAGATCTGGTGAGTGACATGCATGCACAGTGAGGGTAACATAAGTGCTCAGTGTTTGCAGACTTGGTGAGTGGACAAATAAAAGAGCAAATTCAGACTAACGTATGTATCTTACGCCATTTCTAAGTGCTTTCTCTGGAATCCTGTGAGTTCAGAGCCCCACCTCACCCTGACCCTGGCCACCTGACTTCGCTCCACCACACCCTACTGCACACGCACAATTCCACATGACGTCTTATTCCTAGAACTCAAATCCCCCTCCATAGATGAAGTTTTCCTCCCATGAAGTCAATTCAGAAGCTGTGCCAAGGTTCTCAAGAACACTCCCCAAGAAGAGGTCTAGAAATGTAGTGAGCAGTGCCAGTGAGGTAGAAATAAGCTTGCGGTCTCCCCAGGGAGCTCCTCTGAAAGAGACGATGCTCATTTGGAATATATGAGCTCTGGTCTGCTTGTTCAAAAAACAAAACAAAAGCAGCCTCCTGCTTCAGCCGCAATTACACAGAATGTCCCAGAATGCTGGGCTGAAAGGGCCCTTAGAGGTCAGCTGCGTCAAACACACACACACACACACACACACACAGGTCAGCTGCGTCAAACACACACACACACACACACACACACACACACACACACACACACACACACACACACACACACACACA